TCTTTCTTATCTCTCTCTCTCTCTATCTATCTATCTATCTCCCTCTCTCTCTCTCTCTCTCTTTAACCTTTTTTCAGTATAATCAATCTATTTTCACTATCTTTTTTCCCCATCTTCGTCTTCTTCTTACTCTTTCGGACGCAAGATAACCCCTAACATTCAAAGGCAGTCAATTAAAGCAGGAATGTTCCCCGAAGACTTTCTCTGCTTCCGTCTCCCAGTCTCCGGCGAAGGAGGAAGATGGAGGCGGGGCGAGATATTCCTCTTTTCTGTCGATTCCTAATTCTTGTTTTCTCTTTTATTCTGCTCTCTGTGTCTGTCTGTTTTTTCTGTTTGTCTGTCTGTCTCTCTCTCTCCCCCTCTCTATCTATTTATTTATTTATCTCTCTCTCTCTATAGCTGTCTATCTATCTATCTATCTATCTGTCTACCTATCTATCTATTTATCTATCTATCTGTCTGTCTATCTATTTATCTATATATTTATCTATCTATCTGCCTCTCTCCCTTTGAGGATGAAAGGGATCCATACACAAGACAAGGCAATAGATTCTTCTTTTCCGTCGATGCAGTCTGTCCCTAATTGGGTATCCTTTCTTGTTTTCTCTTTTTCTTTTCTTTTTTATTCGCCTCTCTGTCTCTGCCTTTTTTTTGTGTGTGTGTTTTTTTTTCTTTGTGTGTTTGTAGGCTCTGTCCGTTTGTCTGTTTCTCTCTTCCTCTCTCTCTCACTCTTTCCTCTCCCCTTTATCTCTCTCTCTCTCTCTCTCTCTCTCTCTCTCTCTCTCTCTCTCTCTCTCTCTCTCTCTCCCTGTCTGTCTGTCTGTCTGTCTGTCTCTCTCTCTCTCTCTCTCTCTCTCTCTCTCTCTCTCTCTCTCCCTGTACACATAACCCTTCCCCCTTCTTTTCCTTTCTTCCACATTTTCTACTTTTTCCTCTCATTTTTTCGAAACAGAATTCACCCGCTCACATTTTCGCCTCCGTCCTCACCGTCTTCTCTGCACACAATAGCAAATGCTTTATATCTTAATAAAGTTAAAACAAGACCCTCCTAAGAGACCGTCACTCCTTCTGTTTTCCGAGATGCTGGAATAAAGGAGTCACACGTATAACAAAGGGCTATATACTTTCTTTTCCCTTTTAATGGAATAACTTTGTTGTTATTGTTATCTTTGTTTTCTTATCTTTTCACTGACTTATCTCTTTATTCGTTTATTTTCATTCTCTTATTCTTTTCTGTTTTTTTGAGGGGGGGTATAAGGATTTATTTGATTGATATTTTATTATATTGAAAAAATTCAAATAAAGACGAATTATTGCTGATAGGGAAGGTCATTTAGAGATTAGAACTAATAGTTTGAATCTCAAAGAAGACTCACATCTTTGAAGAAAATGTTTACTAAATTTCAGATTCTTTCTGTATACATTTTTTTAGTTAATCCAGTCTAATAAATAATTTGTTAATGGTTTTAGAAAATGCGCCATACCGGAATATATTTTATACTATTTAGTTTATATATACATACACCTCTTCATATATACTACATGTAAGCGTTCATGTATGTATGTATGTATTTGCATGCAAGAATCTATAAACATACATATATATGCACATGAATATATATACATCGTATCAATAGGCAGGAACACGGACATGAAATCAGCTGATCAAAAGAGAGCCGATAAAGGACTTAAAAGTGAAAATTTGCAATGCGTGTTGATATGGAGTTGCTGGAAATCGTCAATAGACCTCACAAAGCCCTTTTAACTGGAGAGAATTATGGAATCTATTTATAAGAGGCAAAGGCTATAAACGAGAGGATTAGAGAGAGAGAGAGAGAGAGAGAGAGAGAGAGAGAGAGAGAGAGAGAGAGAGAGAGAGAGAGAGAGAGAGAGAGAGAGAGAGAGAGAGAGAGAGAGAGAGAGAGAGAGAGAGAGAGAGAGAGAGAGAGAGAGAAGAGAGAGAGAAGAGAGAGAGAGAGACAGATAGACAGACAGACAGACAGACAGACAGACAGAGAGATGGGGGGAGAAAGAAACGAACGGAGAGAGAGACAAAGTAAAGAAATGAAGGAAAAGGGACAGAGGGAGAGGAGAAGAGGGAAGAACAGAGAGAAGGAAAGGAAATAGAAACAGAGAGAATCCAGAATCTAGATTTAAGGATAAGCATAAATGAATAAAATAAATAAATAAAAAACAAAACACCTGAAATGCTCTAAAAGATACATATGTTAAAATAATCATACAAAGTCCTTAGGTTTTCACACTTAATATTCAACATCAGGAATCCTATTTTCATTTTAAAATTTTGTCATTCGCGGATGCCATTATATAATAAACAGCTATAGAATGAAGTTCACAGAATAAGTTAGAAGAATTGAAATATTGATAGGAGGAGAAGGTAAAGAGGAGAAAGGAAAAGAAAATAGATAGGCAAAGGAAAAATTATCTATCTATCTATTTATCTGTCTATCTATCTATCTTACTCTCTCTCTATATATAAAGATATATAGATAGATAGATAGATAGATAGATATAGATAGATAGATGCATGGTAATAAATATAATGATAGTAATGATAATAATAATAGTAATAGTAGTAGTAGGCACTAGTTGTTGTAGCTGTTGTTATAATTTAATCATAGTC